TTATCAATAACTTAAAATAAAGACTTGTGTTGCTGATTTGTTCACACATAGGTAGCAAATTTTACTACTTTTACTATACTCTAATTACACTTAATACATGAATGTAAACAAAAAAATCTGGACTTCATCATTTCTGTGGGTGAATTAAGATCCTCTTATCGTGATTATGCTCCTGGTCACACAGGGTTTGATAGAAAATTGATTGTTGCACATAATTGTTCTCTTATATACAATTACCCTTGGTATAAGACTAATACCTGACATGTCTTTTTCAATAGGAAATGTAAATTGATTATTGAAAATGACAGTGAACATTATTCTCATAACTGATTTATGTGTAGAGGATAACATTTGTACAAGGTGTACAAACAATATAATAAACAGAAAATATTACATGCACGAAGAAGGGATAACAGTGTAGTTAACCAAGAGACCCAACGACTTACAAATTTTAATGAGTTGATTCTTGTTTGTTACATTTGAAAGTATTTCCAATTTTTATAAAAAAGTTTGGATTTTGTTGATATTATTTTAGTAACATAACTTTTGAATTTTTTTATAGATACTTCCGTACATTTAATTATATAATGAATTTCATCCCTAATATTTCATAGCGATTACATATACCTTACAAATTTTATTCTCTCTTGGGATATTTAACCATTTACCGTCTTGATTGGTAGTTTTTGAGTATTCCCAGTCCTAAATTATAATATTTCTTGAATATTTTAGGTGATAAATTTAACAAATATTCTTCAAAGACTAATATTTTTTTTTTAAAAAGTCTGTAATTTAATTTTTTGAAGAAGTTTATACTTCACTATACCATGTGTGCTTAAACTGATCTAAAGAAAGGCGTACATTATTTTTTAACCAACATGTATTAATTGAATTTTCATACCAAGCATACATGTAGGTCAATCCACATTCATTAAAAATTTTCTAAAGAAATTCACACAATGAATTCTTTTAATTTTCAGCGGACATATAAATGTAAAACCGTCCGATAACTGATTTAACCCCCCCCCCCCCCAATCATTTCGTGGTTTACCTGGTAAATTTTATCAAATTGAAATACTTTGCATTCTAGTCCTATCTTTTTCTTTTATTTTCACGAGCAAATCTCAAAAGTCGAACTACATGAAATATATATACTGAACAAAATCGGGCACAAGATAGATCAATAAATGGAGTTATCCCGCTTATTATAACCAACATTGAAGAACGAAGAACGTGTTTTGAACTGAAAATAATTCAAGAGGTATTTATTGGGGGGGGGACCTTTATTTTATTTGATTCACTGTACATAACATCTTTAAAATACCAATACCAAATGCATTTGTATGATAGGTAATCATGGATCTTATGAATGGCTGCTCATACTTCTTTAAATCGGAGGGAGGGGGGGGGGTTCAAATGAAATCCACTTTTTCTAGAACAAGCTTGCTCTGGAGGTCATCTGGATCAAAAATGAAATTATGCGCTATTTTGGACGGGGATAAAATTCATAAACCCCCATGCTATTGACATGAAAACAAAATATTCTGTACTTTTACGGGGTAAATATGATTTCTCCGGATTCATAAATTTCTCTTTTTTTTCGTTATTCTTGTAATAAATAATCAAAATCTCCCTCAGAATCACAAAACAGATTCTGCAACCATCCCTTCAAAGCGCTTATATTACATAAAGGGTTTAGTTCAGGGTTAAATATACTTTTGTTTTGTAGTTAGTTTAGCTTTTGAATTCATTGGGGATTTTGATTTGCGTACAAACGTATTCCAGAATTAGGAATAAGGCATGATGCAAAATGTAAAAAAGTTTGCAAAACAGAATAATTAATTAGTCACAAATTAGTTTATTGCTAAATTACAATGATTCTATGTCTCTCATATAATTACATTACCGTAATGATAATACTAGTATTCCATAAAGTAGTTTTTTGAATTACTTTTCTGAATTTATAAAGCTGTTTTCAGAGGGAAAAAACCAAACAAGTATAACTGTAATTTCTCTCTAAAATTTGTAAGGTAATTCTATAGTATACATGTATTTATATCTAAGTGCTATAAAATATTAGAAATTGGCCTTCCGTGCAGAATCTACAATACTGGTGTCGCTTTGGAGATTATCTTAGTCTGGTTAAATCGCCGTTCAGTTGGTACCTATAAAATTTGCACTTGCAACATGCAGTTGACAATTTCGAAAGATACCATGGCCAGAAATTAGTTTAACGGTGTGTGAATTTTACCATGGAATGCCCGAAGAGCTATATTTCTCATATTAGAAAAAAAGGTGTACATTATTGTTCTACAACAGTGCATTTCTTTTCATCTCTGTATCAATATATAGGTGTTTTTCATTTTCATGCCAATTATCCTAAAAAGATAACTCTGTATTAGTAAGTGTAGTTATATTTACTGTGTCTAGAACCACATGTATATTTAAGGTAAATATTTTTTTTTTGATTTAAAGAAATAAATACCCTTTAAAACCAATGTTTAAAGCAACTTAAAGGCGTTTATTATATGTAAAAATACAAATGGAAAAAGAGCAGGTTAAGGTATAATGAGGATTTGATGAACATGATGAACATACGTTTCTTTGTTTTTTACGATATCTTTAATTAAGGTATTTATACTGAAGCAATTAGATGAAAAGTACGTTGTTAAATGAGATAAAAATAATCATAATGAAAAAAAAGAAGTGTCTTTGAATCAGACCGTTGGTTGTTGAAAGTACTTTTAAAGCAACAATTACATTGTACATAGAAATGTACATATAATTTAAAACCACTTAAAATACAAATTCATCTAAACAATTTAGTAAATTTTTAATATTTCTTAAATGCATCAGCCATTAAAAAAAATCGAAAGTGAGTTACAAATGTATATTAATTTGTGTGCGGATTTAGCCAATTTTTGACTAAAGAGATGTACTTAAATCCCATTATTGTTTCGTATTTTGCCGAAATTCGATTTCATTAGGAACCATTGACATTTGATGAAATCTTTATATCTATTCTTGAATAATCTCTGTAAAGAAAAAAAATTCAAGTATACCATTTTACAAATTTTCGATCGAAATGATATTCGAGTAATCAAACAATTTGGCTGTACTTTTAAATTTCTAAACAATATAATTTCGGAAGGGTATTGAATAGGAAAAGCTACTTCTAATCTACAGATAAAATCAATGTCTCCACGCAATTAGAAATTGTTTAGAAACAATAAGAGGATTAGAAAAAAAAAGATTGATGAAATTAATGTTTTTTTTCTTTCATAACCATTGTGCATTGAGTATCGTGTGAAATGGTTCGTTTCTTAAAAAACAGACCAAAATTGCAAAGAAAATCGATTTTTATTATCACTGCGAATACTATGATTTTATAAAGAAAAAAAATAAATTCACTAATTTATTTTAAAAAAATCACAAGAAAGCATGTAAAATTTGGGTTCAAAATATTCGTTGCAAATTTCAAGGTATTTGACGAAGAAAGACTCTATACAAACACAATGTCGTTATTGAAACAACCCCCCCCCCTCCCCCTTTCCAAAAAATATTGGTAATTTAAATACAAGCCTTTGAAACATATATGCAAAAAAGCGATAACGTCATATTATTTTTTAAAAAGCTAAATGCTAAAGAGCATTTTTATTTTTAAGTTTTAGAGGCTGATCTTTTTTCAAAATATCTTATTTTTACAGCCTTTCATCTCGGTACTCTGTCACATATATCTTTAGAGACATGTATCTCTTACATTATGCACAGCTCTCGAATTTAGTTATAAAAGGGTTGCACGATGAAGGCTTTATGCTTCAAATACTGTATTAAGTTTAACATTTCACATCAATAATTGAGTGAAAATTATCGACATTATAGTTGATAAACCAACGCTTAAATGCACGTTCCCTGAAATACCAAACTACAATTTAGGAATCAAGTTCAAGTTCATTTATTTCGTTCACACCAACATTATTGGCACAGGAAATACAGTATATAAGTAAGTCGTTATAGTTGTGAAAAAATAATAAATAAATATATGATACAATAGCATCAATGAGAGGCACATACATATGTACAAAATATAAATAGTGTTGAAAACTTGTTCCTGGTAATGTGACCTTGAAACATGGATTTGTTTTAGTTTTGCAAGACGATAAATTAGACAAAATTTCCTCGAGATTGAATGGGAAGAACAATTGATTTTAACTTTGTCTTGGTGATCGTCTGTCCACTATTATAACCAAGCTTAAACTTTTGAACTTCATTAAATATTTAGTTAACTAATTTTAAGCATATTTTGGAACTCATAACATGAATTTAATAATTCGATGCCTCAATTAATTTCACCTTGGGTAAGGACCTTATATAAGTCATAACATACTATGGAAGCGTTTTAATTCATGAGGGGTCAATGTTCGTGGGCAAGCAAAATTTTACTTGTTCTTGGGTACGTATAATTTCGTGGGTTACTCGTTTATACGGTAGATTCAATGAATCAATATGTTTATGAAATAAATTTTTGTGGGGATGTAAATCCGTGGGTAAGGGTGATCCACGAACATTGGTCCCTCACGATCAATGATGATACCCAAGGTACCTTTAATTCCTGAACATCAAAGTCAGAGTTCAACATTGTATTGGTGACAGAGATATATCATCCCTCTTCATTTAAAACGAAAGGATGCCCGATGGAGGAGACGGGGGGTTGGGGGGTTGGGGTTGGGGGTTGGGGGGGGTTAGACCAACTCTTTTTCAGTTTAGGCATTCATTTCAATTTAAAATCAAAATCTCATCAAATGATCATAGCTCAAACATTTCTTAAGCAGTCTAGTTCTATTGAATTTCAAATAAAACAAGCTTAAGAGATTTGGGAAACGACATGGATAATTTTTTTAATCTTCAATTGTTTCTTCCTATACTTGCAATAGTCTATATGATAAGTAAAGAGGGACAAGTGCGCATCCAGTAATCAACACCGTACATAAAACAACCAGTTTATTCTTATTTTTATTCGAATTTAGCATCGTAGAATCAAATCAATTTGTGACAAGAAATAAACGCGCAGATATATAACACACCAAGTTGGTAAACAATAAGAAGAAGTTAAATATACATGTATGTACATGTAAGTTCGGCTTCCAATGAAATACTGTTGACCTTCATCTTTTATATATAAACAAAAAAAAAAATTAAGAAATTATGTAATGTTATTCTGATCACAAGCAATAATACACATTATATGTAATAATGTTCTAAATTCTTAAAAGCATGGAATTAGACCTAAAACATTTAAAACAAATATAAGAGATTTTGACACCTGTATATCACAATATTAAAAAAACATATATCGATAAAAATGAGATAACATGCTTAAACTGTGAAAATGCAATAATGTTTAATAAGTTTCACAGAAATAAGTGCATACTGGTTGTCACTTTCATTACAAACATAATGCAAATTAACTGCAAATATTGACAAATTTCCATTTTGGATTACTCAACCTTACAAAGATTTTTTTCTTACACACACAGAACACCCCATTCACTCTATGAATTGTGAATTTATTTTAGCTTTTAAAGCCAGAATGATAAATAAAAAACGACCATACCAATCAAAGAAATATCTTGTATATATACGAAAAATTGACACACACGAAAAAAAAATTGTGACAAAATATGTACCGAACTAAACACATGCATGTATACTTGCACTTTTTTTTCATCATTCACAATATTAATTAATTGCATTCTATTTTATTAACTTGTTAGCATGAAAAAAAATTACGAATTTTAAACATTATATTGATAAACCACTATAAAACATTAATGCTCGATCGACATACGCCTAATGAACGTTTAATTTCAGGGAACTAGTGAAGGAAAATTTGAATGATCGGGGTATTCTCATTTGAAAACTAAAAATCTTTTTCAGAATAATGATTTTTTTTACTTATAGATATGTATAAACAAGTCGATCCTTCAAAGCCGATACGGTGAATTTTTGTTTTCTTTTTCACATCGGTTAAATCTTGGCAGAATTTAGTCATTGCATACTTGAAGCACCACGTACGTGAAGATACTACTAGTAATGTCCAAACTCCAAACACCCGATTTCAGGAAATCCAACATCAAAACAAAAATAGTAAATAAACAAGTCGAATACTTTAAGTTGAAAATGGCTTTCTTGAAGACCCAGAGAAAAAGCAAGAATACAAGGCGATTTATATCTTTATGTACGACAATCTGACCTACCCAAGACCTTATGTTTCTCTGTTAGCTTTTCTCTCCTACATTATACGTTTTTACGCAAACCATGAAACTCAACATTTGGAATACATTTCAATGACATTTTACACGTGGAATAAGGACTAATTACTTTTAGGGCTTAAATTCTAGAGCAATTTCTTTCAAATATCTTTAAAGTCAGCGAAGGTGAAGTTCTATGAAGTTTTGTACAATATATCACAGGCAGTCACTATTCACTTTCCATATACACAGTGTACTATACAGAATTGTAAACCAACTTAACAATTTGTCTCAGGGTCCGGCATTATAAAGCCAATTTTTCTCTCCGGATGCGCACCACTGTCACTTTCCGAGTCTTTCTTTCGACAAACTCAACTTGAGACTTTTCTGTTGGCCATTCACGGTAGCTTTAAACTTTTCTTATGACAAACACTCTAGCTTTATACTTTTTTGGACATTCGCTTTATCTTAAGGCTTTTCTTTTGTAAATCACCGTAACTTCAGAGTTTTTCTTTTGACAATAATGGTGCCTTTAACTTTGGTCTCCAGCATTTGAGCAATTTTAGCACACATATACATATCAGAGACACGCACAAATAATGAGCGAGGACAGTAACAAAAGAAGTATGCGAGAATGCGCACAAGAACTACTATTGGGGTCACCTGCAGAAATTGACCCGGGCTCAGATGGCGTCCTGTAGACGGGTGGGGTCGTCTGCTTCGATGGCGATGGCGGGTTTGAAACCGAGGGAGTGCGAAATGGTCCGGGTTCTGTTGCAATGTCAATCATTAAGGTACATACATTTTTAGGTTCTTCTAACACAATGAAAGAGTTAATAGGTGTATATTGGCCATTGATCAGTGAATCGAGACTGCCTTTGTTGCAGTCTTCAAAACTCAGCTGGATTATTCTCCGCTTGTGTCCCTTTCCCATAAAAGCCCAACAATTGTAAGAACGATCAGCAAACGATACCGTCACCACAAGAATGCTGCCATCTTTGGATTCTTCAGAAGACAAACACATATGTTCCCTGTTCACTGGTTCTGTTTTGTTAATATCCACCATATTGAATTTGCCACTTAAACCAGATTCATAGTATGCAATGCAATAATCCCTGGAATTAGAGTCCCGAAGATAGATATGACCAGATTTGAATCCAAAGTCACTGGGCAGTTGGCAACTGGTGGTGTAGATTTGGGCTCCATTTACCGCCACTGAAAACGGTTTTCTCAGCTGGTTATCTAGGCAAGTTGTAAGAATCATTTTATGTAATGGAAACTGTGGCCATTCAACTCTAGTTCCAAATTTGTACTGTAGCGTCATTTTCGATGTCTTTTCGTATTCAAAACACGTCATTCTAGGAAAACAACCGTTTTCGAAAATGTGTAGCAAAGCTAGTCGGTAGACCCTTTCCCTTGTTGAGTTGGCTCTTCCAACACACTTAAAGTTACCATCACCTGGCAATTGCAAGTTATATGTAGATATATTCATGTCAATTGGTTTTGATTTCAGATCGGTGTGCCAAGCCCCTTTCAAATCCTCAGGAAACGAGCAGACGTTTGTTTCAGGTTGGCAGCCTCGACATGATTTGTGACAATATTTTTGATACTTGGAGCAAGCTGATTCTTGGGAGCAATAGTCAAACTCGTTTTCGCAGAGATTTGAAACTACCATCTTTTCGAATTCTAAATTCACCCTTTCTATCGTCTGCGAATAGCTATCTCTGTCATTGACCACACATTTACCATCACGGAAAATGGTAGCTCTTTTTAAATCGGACAAATTTCCTTCAAGTCTCATACACAATGGAAACCTTTGGTCATTTGCTAAAACCACAAAGGTGTAATTATCTTCCGCTGATTTGTCGGTCCACGATGCCAAACATCTTAGTTTCTCTTTCAGTCCGTGGACGTCATCCAGTTTACACTCCCTTGTTCTAAAATCCAGTGTCACTCCGTCCCCATCCTCGCATTCGCTTTCCATTCGAGGAGGGATGACAGAAAATCCACATACTAATTCCATCTTGTAAGTGATTTTTAAATTATAACCTCCAGAAAAAGGACATTTTATAGACGGGTTATCATTTAAAGGATACTTGATGATGGGACGATTTTTCAGTATCATGTTTTGCTCATTACAAATTGAAAGTGTAAATTCTGATGGGTTAGATTCTCTAATCTGAACAACAGAGTCCGATCTTTTAAGAAACTGAATACAAGAATATGATATCCGAACATTCACACCACCTTGTTTAGGAAGGTGGGCCACTAAGTAAATTCCCTTTTCACGGTTTATCATCTCATGACATCGTTTTTCAAAGCGTAGATCATTTTGCCTTATGTCGATATAATCTCCATTGAAGTACATATTTTCGGAGTCGTGACCATCCGTCCCACTGCGCCATAACTTGTCCCTTTCCAGAAATTCCGGAAACGTACAGTTTGATTTTCTACTTTGGATGCTCACAAGTAACGACGGAAGACAGAGAACAAGAATAGAAAAGCATCGGTCAACGTACTGCCTCATGGTTCCGTTATTTCGTCAGTATCTGAAAGTAAAATGACCATATGTTAAGGTGGTATGGGATACCTCCATGTTATGACATACTTCTGTTCTGCTCATCAGTATAAATTTCGAATTCCTGTCGCGTTTTGAAACAGATTAGGCGAACCTTTTGACATTAAGAAACTGATACTAATACAGGAGAATTACACTAGTGTCACATTTCTTGATACATCGTATTATTAATTTCAATATCAAAAAGGGACATAAATCGAAGATTCAATAAAGTACACGTAACTCCACACATGCATATTTATAGTATGCTTATACATATACATATTCCTCAAATCCACACGCAGGATTCCAGCAAAAAATGTGAAGTATGAAAAAGAGAAATATTATAGTCTACTACCTGGAGAAATATTTGGATAAAAAAAGAAAGCTGAGGTTATCATCTGTCATTTAATTAAATAATTCAAGTAATCCAGGCCCGTAGGAAGCAATTTCAGTTGGGGGGGGGGGGGCACAGCCATATATTTTTCAGTTGACAGTTGAGGGGGCACTACCAAAAATTTCTTGACAAGCCAAAAAAAAAAAAAAAAGAAAAAAAAGAAAAAAGAAAAAAAAAAGAAAAAAAGGTCATCGGACGTTTTTATTGAGGGGGCACAAGCATATAGTATCTATGTTTACTATAGTAATCTATACATCGGCAAAATTATTGGGGGGGGGGGGCGTGCCCCCCCCCCCCCCCAAGTTCCTACGGCCATGTAATGTACTTTTCTATCTTCAATAATTGGATGGTTGTTGCCTCTAAAAAGGTATTGAAGGAACAAATCGAAATTTACATTTAAATTATATGTACGTCATCCTTTTACTTTTGAATCGAATGTACTGATTTAATTAGCTACCTAAATATCGTAATTTTTTTTTCTTTATCTCTAATGATTTAATTCAACAGGAAAGAGAAAAATTAGTCCTTTAATTGGGACTTATTAAAGCGGAAGAACTCAATAATTCAAAATAATTGTATCTTTTTTTGGAATGCTGACGACTTCACATGAAAGGATGAAAACGCACCAAAAATAAATATATCTGTGACGAAAACTTTTTCATAAGGCCTCCCTCCCCTCAAAAAATATTAAAACAGATACTTAATCTATGTTTATACAGGGTGTGCCAAAATATATGATACCATATGAAATTCCTCCTACGAACACATCCCTTGGCCAAATTCTTTGATATATATCTCTAAAAATATTTGAATAAGTACATTTTTTAGCAACAAGATATACCAAAAAAAATTCTTACACTTTTGAAGTTGCAACGTATCAAATTTACATCAAACTTTTGCAAAAAAACTGCAATTTCAATCAACATGGATTATAAAATGAGCTAGCTGTCCTCATTTTCAAATTGTTATTATCAATCCTAGTCTTAGGTTACTGCTGCTAAGCCCAAACCAGAATCCTTAACATATATAAAAGGTTTACCTCTGATGAAAATCAAAAAGTTACGATCGAGACAGGCACTGTTGTCTCAAGTTAAGAAACTTTATGCAATGTCAAGACATTATCATTACACAGATAGAACGTCATAAATAGGGCATCATTTAAAAAACCATAGCATTTTTTAAAGTGAACTCATTTTGTTGCTTTCTTTTTAATGACTGTCAAATTATGTGAATAAAATTGGACAGTATATGCAATGTTTATAATGCATTTCTTATAATCCAATATTCATTACATTAGGTTTTACAGAATCTAGAAATGGTATCATATATTCTGGGACACCCTATATAAATATATAACTTTAGCCAGTTTTATTCTCTCGATAAATCAATTATGCCCTAAAAAGTAATTTCGAAAAAAATATGCAGATTTATAAGGGGAACAGCCAAAAAAAAAAAAAAAATGAACATCATCATAGAAAATATACATATTTTCATACAGTATTTTATTAATTTGATATTTAAATCATTTACAACCAAATTAATTAAGAAAATATATACCAATCCTTGTTTACGGTAGTAAGCAGCTTGTTTAGTGCCACTTTGTGTACATGCATCCAGACGTTATAGATAATTGTGGTTTTACGAATTCAGTCTAAATTTATTTTAAATGTAACATTTGCATACTTTGAAAATAATTAATTCAGTACCCACTTTGTGCCAACACTACCCAGGGCCCGTCTATAATGTTGTAAAATGATCTCTGTTTATATAAAATACAGTAGAATATTTCATTACGGTTCACCCTTGAAGCATTAATTTATTTCCTAATGAAGCTGTGTTATACGTTAACCAGACAACTAAATAAATCGATAAGAATGAGGATATACGGAAATGAAATATAAATATAACAGAGTTTGGTCACCCCCAAGCATTTTTCGTTTCTTTTGTATTTGATTATCTCTGCATCAAGGTTTCTCAATCAATCATAGTTATAAGCATCATAGACATGTATAGATTATCACAATATCTTTTACCATGTAAACTTATATAAACTGTCAAACACTGTTAATTTTTTTATACCCCAGAAGATCGAATATCTGGGGCATAATGTTTTTGTCCTGTCTATCCTTTTGTCTCCGAAAACTTTAATACTTGGCTGTAACTTCTGAACCGTAATATTTAGTATCATATAAAATTTGAATTTAACGGGTGGCAGTAAATACAAAATTTACCGATAAATTCAAAATTTACAACATGACAATTCTTTAAATTTAGCATGCATATTCAACTATAAATGCCTTTGCAAAAGTACTCAGATCAAAGACCATGTGTGTCCATCATAGCTTATGACAGGCAGAGGACATTTGTGAGTTTTAATACATTTACAAATTGCATAGGAATTTGATAGTAAAGAGCATCGTTGTATAGACTTGTTGATTTTTTGGTAAGGATTAGGATCGACAGAGCTAAAGCACCAGGCAATCATTAAAATCCGGGAAAAATACAGCGATGATAAAATACCAAATGTGTGTCAAAATTCACCATCAATGATTAATATAGATGCTGATGTTGCGATTGAGATTTAAATTTATATTAGTCATTATTGTGCATATTAAATTACCATCTTGCCAAAACACTTACAGAACTAAATAAAAAGTGTAAGTTGACCACAAGTGCAAGATAATGGATTTGATTGATAATATTACATCACAAATTCGAAGCTCAACTAAAAACAAATCTCTGCCTACACTTAATTTTTTTTTTATAATTACAGGGGGCAGTTGTCTTTAACAAGCAAATCTTGTTTTATTATTGGGGGGGGGGGGCTTAAGCTGCCACATGATTTCAAGTTAAAAAATATATATAATTTGGAAACTGGAATCAATAGAAACAAAGTTTTAGATAGTTAATCAATGGAAGGTTAATAACACCGACGGGGAAAAATGAAGCTCATTTTACACATTATTCTGAGAATTCAAGTACATACGCGTAGTTTACATTAATTATGAAGCAGGAGCATATAAATTATCTTCCATCTAAAATTGTAGATATGTAGTTTCAAAACTACATAGGCTCGCTCCCGGGAGAAGAACGTTATAAATATTACAGAAATAGTCTAGAAAAAGTTTGTTGCTTTATATGTAAGGTTATGACAATTTTGCGACCCACATTGATATAAAAGATCATCGCGGAAGAGTAGGTAGCATTAGGGTTAAACCTAAGTAATCATGGACTTTGAGCAAGATTTGAACATCAGACCTTTAGACGTAAATGACACACATTCTTGACATTCTTTATTCAGGGTCTATAATAAGGCCAGTCTGTGGAACATTTTATTATGTTCACATCATATCGGTATTTGATAGATATCATCTTTTGTACAAGCTAAAATATGAAAGTGAATTCGGAAAAATATATTTCCTTTTAACCATAAATAAGATTTCTTTTATTTGGTTCTACAAAGAAATTGATTTGTTTTTAAAACTTCATTTTCCCATAAGTTATCTAGTTTTCGCTTTAACTATAAATAAGTTCTCTTTTATTTGGCTCTACTAAGAAATTGAATTTTTTTAAAAACTTCATTTCAAAACTAGTTATCTAGTTTTCTTTTCCAAGTTGCTATTTTCGGTTGGTCTTGAATTTTTTTCCCGAGATATTGAATTAAGATGAATTAAAATCTTTACTGATGAAAATGTTTTTGGTTTTATGCGGTGTTAGTAACTCAACAATCTTTGTTAGTAAAATAACAAAATTATTGAACAAGAAATCTCCCATCTCAACACGATTTGCATGCAAATACTCTAAAACGACTTAACAATAAAATAGATGGACACTAATGAATTGTATGGCTTTTTACATCTGGACCCGCTGCTATTAATATTGATTAGAAAATCTGGGTAATTAGCAATCAAGGAATTCCTAGCTTAATATAATGTCTTTAGAGGATGAAACAAAATGTCTGTTTATCTGGAGAACGAAAAATTGACTTTTGTTAACGGAACATGGAGCTCAAGAGGCTTGTTTCATATTTTGTGATCATAAAAAATTGTTTAAACAAATTCTCGTACCCCATCTGTACTTAAACAGCTTACCCGTACAGCATACCCGTACTGGAAACCCCCCCCCCCAAATATTTCTATTCAAAATTTACTACTTTTCAACAAAACTTTAAAATTATTTCAAGTGTAAATGTTTACGATAAAAAAAGTAAAAATAAATTTGATCTCTGAGGACATTGTTAATAAATCACCCTTTTTTTAAAAAAGAAAATGTCAACTCTTCTTGTTTCAGCAAGAACATCCCTTGGTTTTTCACTTATATGCTACTCTTCGTATGCCTGCAAAGCATGGACTTTTGTTAAATACCAGTCTTACAGATGCGCAATAAACTGTCTGAGGATCAAAATTAAAACCCGCTGAGACACTTCACGGAATGGAGTCGGAGATAATTCAGATATCGAACCCGATCCCCTTTGGTCATTTCCAATGAATAACGAGAGCATTGTGCTCTGTTCCGTATAGAGCATGGGACAAGAGACTAACAGTTAGGCCCAAATCATCGGATATAAAATGCAATTTGCTTTAATGGAGCAAAATGTCAAGATGCCCATGAGAAATATTTACTCTAACGATAGTGATCTCTTTCTCATAGAAAGTCACGTGAGCAACCAACACTTCCTGCGCCACCAAGACGAGGCCCACTTTCTGCAGCGATGTATCTTTTTGTTTTTCTGATATGGATGTCTTTAGTTGACCAGACAGCACTTTGCATTATAATGACTAATCTGCGAAAAGCTATTCACAATTTACTGCGAAGGAATATAACTTTTAATGATTTTTAAAACACAATCTAACGGCTAGTAAAAACCTGTGCCGGTAGGTTCCTGGTTAGTGATAGAAGAATAAATAAAACATAAATAAAAACTTACTACTAGAAACCTAGTTCTATAGTTGATATCCAAATTTTCTTGAATAACATTTTATCTGACGACGAGTTTCAAAAATTTTGCTTTGGTATTTATTACAGCCTTATATTAGTCGGTATATTGTATTTTTTTTTGTTTTCTAGATATTATTGTTATTTCCTGAACGTAAAAGAAACAGTGCTTCTCTTGACAAATCGCTGACCCAGACATACTAATCACTGCATAATCTTTTATGTAAACTTTATGTAACAAAGGTGGAGAGATTTGAAAGAATTTTATTAATCACTAATTATGAAAAAAAATAAATATATCCGCTCTTTTGAGCATAGACATCGATTTTGACTTTATTTCAAGAATTGTTACACAGGAGAGAAATTGTACTCATTGAATGATCCGATGAAGTTGTAAAGGACTTTTATTGCGGATGGCGTGCTTCAGGTCATCTCCAGTGGGACCCAGGAAAACAATGACATGTAATTTTTGTATAAACAAATCTAGACAATTTTTTTCATTCATTGGTAATAGCATTATATTATTTTCTCCCCTGCTCCCCAAATGAAAAAAATAAAAATTGCAGGGAGAGTGGTTTTAGTAAGTGGCTCATGGATGAAGATTCACCTTAGCGTCAAATCTCGTGATTATGGAGTTTGGACGTGATCTTGTTGTCAGCGACTGTGAATTCACAGCTCTCACATCACCTTCACTTCCTCTCACCATTCAGCCTGATTAGGGGTTTTCGAGTAAGCAAATAATGGAAATATACGAGAGCATTATTTCCTTTGGTGATTGGCCATGGCTGTCGGTGAATAAAAAAAAACAAAATAAAAAAAAAAAAAAAAAAAAAAAACTCAGAACATGAAAACCATACAAAAATCCATTTTCAGTGGACAAAATTAATGTTGTTTTTATAGAATTTCATAATTTGTCATATCTCTTTTTTTTCCGAACTCAATGGAAATATTTTCATTGAAAGAAATATTAAGCATTTAAATGCATGCATTATTACTGTCCCATCAGATCAATACCATACGTTGTATACATTTAAATGCTGGTAAATGTTAGGTACTTGCGATGAAATTTTGTGTCATTCTTTAAATCTTTTATCCCTTTACATTTAAAAATTCTACTGTGTTGTCTACAGGACCTGGAACAAACGTTCTACTTTTCCTATAATCATAAAGACTTGTCGTGGAACGACCAAAAAAAAAAAAAAAAAAAAAAAAAAAAAAAAAAAAAAAAAAAAAAAAAAAAAATATATATATATATATATATATATATATATATATATATATATATATATAAACAAGCAACAACTTTAGGATTTCTACAATTAAGATTTAACTGCGATCGTCACACTACGATCGCAGAATTCAAAATTTAAGGTGGAAAGAAAAAAGAAGATAATTAACTTATTTAACTTCGAAACAGAGCTCCTTTTGCTTTTAAACTAGGCTGAGCAATGTTTAATGTGCATGTTAACATATGTATTGTGAGTATTAAGTATTTTATAACACATTTATGTTTTTAGACCGGATTTTATTCTAAAACCGCAGAGATGAAAATAGCAAATTTTTAATTTTAACTTTAAAAAAAGGATAAAACCTATTTGCGGTTTATCTTATTTATCCAAATTATCCAAACTAATTTGGATTTTTTAGGTCTTTGATTTTTCCTACAATTTAACGGATTTCTTTATACAAAATCTTTTTTAAGTTTAAATAAATAGGCATCTTTATTTTCAACATATGTTGACATATTTTTTTTCAACATAAAGAAATATTTTAAGAAGAAGTTGTGAAGGAAAAAAATGCTAACAAGCAACTCTTACCTTGACATGGTACAGTACCCTATTTCTAAAGTTCCAATTACCACAGAATATATCATTTTCACATAAGAAACATGTCGTTTTTGATCCCAAATACTAAATCTTCATACATCACAACAGTTTCCGTGTCAAATACAGAGACTGTATAAGCTTTTAGCACTTTACCTCTTTACCTTAACTAAACACAGCTATCAATGCGCGCTCCTAATATTAACAATATAGAATGGAGATCGCCAATATAGGAATCTTCGATAATCGAATTGTCCGCCCAATTACTCTATTTTCCGGTTCGGCATTGTCGAAGTTCGATTGCATGTGTGGTCAGGTGGACTACTGGTCGACTGATCTGGGACATATGGCGATCGATGACGTGAAAGTGAAAATAAGGTGATATATTATTTAATATTAAACAATGCTAATCAATTATAATTACCTGTAGACGTCTTCCTACCAAGTACATTTTTCATTACTTTCGCTTTCCCATAAAACATATCTACATTTTGCTTATATGATATAGATATTCTTTTTTTTTTTTTAAGTAAAAGTTCATGAATTTCATTTCTTTTTTTCCTGTGCAGGAAGTAAAAGGTGCGGGAAATTGTTTAATTTTCTCCGGCAGATGCGCTAATTAAAAATTAATGCTGTCATATTACCCGCTTGCTGCTAACACGTGTTGTGTAAATTGAGACAGATTCTCGACGGGTATTTTCAATTGAAAAGCATGAGGCATGTCCCTTTTATTTTCACAGAAATGTTACAATTTCTAAATATAAATCTTTTATAAGTTTAAATATTATCTGATACCATCAGGCTACATCTCTTTTATCTTTGAATCGTTAAATAAATAATTTTTTATTATCGCATTTTCGGGGGATCCATATATATTCATAGAATCTATGGGGACACACAAACTCAAATTTAGTGCATAGACTCAAAGACAGTCTCGTGTAAATAGTCGTGTTCCATCGTCCTTGTTATGGGGCAAATCCTTAAAATGTTAAATGACTTATTTTTATATTTTTCAGTGTAAAGATGTAGTTGTCATCTAAAAACTGATAATAAAGTTGAGTGATTATCTAATTAGTTATGTAATTAACTTCTCAATAGGAAAATTAACTAATCCTTGCTCTCTTGGTATTTAACTTTTTCATGCCCCTATAATCGAAGGTTCGGGGCATATAGTTTTTGCCCTGTCCGTCCGTCTGTGTCTGTCTGTTTGTTTGTGTGTTTGTCAGCAAAAACTTTAACACTGCCCATAACATTTAATTGGTTGGAGCTATGGCTTTGATATTTCACTTGTGTATTCCTTGTGACAAAAAAATTAATGGAGTACCAACATATTTGACCTTTTGTCCTTGGAGTTTGACCCACTTTTGTAAAATTTTACCAAACTTTAACCTTGACCATAACTTTTGAACGGTTGAAGCTAGGTCTTTTATACTTCGCATGTGTATTTTTTGTAATAAGACCTTTCCTTGGGTCCTTGGGTACAACATTTTTTGACCTTTTGACCTTGATCTTGGAGTTTTACCTACTTTTGAAAATCTTTAACTTTGGCCATAACTTTTAAATGGTTGGTGCTAGGGCTTTCATATTTCACATGTATTCCTTGTGGCAAGACCTTCCCGTGTGCACCATTAATTTTTACCTTTGACCTTGGAGTTTGACTTATTTTGATAAACTTTAACCTTGGCCATAACCTCTGAATGGTCGGTGCTTGGCTTTAATCTTTCACAGGTGTATTCCTCGTGACAAAACCTTTCTTTGGGTATCAACTTTTTGATCTCTTGACCTTGGAGTTTGATTTGCATTTGAGAAACTTTAACTCTCGCCACGGGATGCCATACTGGGGCATCAGTTTTTCACACTATATATATATATTTTTGATATAGGGTAGACTGGGGTAATTTCGACCACTTTTGCTGATTTGTGGCTTTCAGTCCACAAAACACGACTGTTTTCAAATGTACTAGTTTAAAAAAAAATTAAAGTAATTGACAATGATTTTTTATTCATATTTTTTTGCTTTAGGACTTAAAAATGCATAAAAAATAATGAATTGGTTTAAAAATAAGTAAGCATGTTGCATGGGTTAATTTCGACCGGCCTCGGGGTAATTTCGACCACAACAAACATCAAAAAGAAAGATAACTCTTGCAATGCATGTTAACTTTACCTGTCGCATTTTATTCAAAATTTATGGTCCGAGAAACTATATTGCCTTATTTAGAAAATACGTGTATCTATCTCTCTCAACAAAAAGATTAAAATGGTTAATTTTAAGTACTAGTATCCATACATTAAAGAATTGGGTTGGGTTACTTAAGCTTTTCAATGTTGTCTTATAGACATCTTAATTCTTATTCTTTATTCTAAATTCTGCTTTTAATTCGCTAACTCTACATTTTAAAATTGTGTTATAAAGTTATGCAAATAGATGAAATTTTCTCAGATTCTCAGATTCCACAAATAATTTCTTTGTTATGATTTTTAAATTGTTCAACCCAAAAGGGATTTCATTTAATATCGTTTTTTTACAACAGAATCATTCAAATTGTATACATGTATAAGGCTTTAGCATAGCATTCGAATTGCGTACATTTTTCTTCACTAATTTTTACCATATACACAATCATTTGGAATGCGTTGTTTTACGTATTTTACGTGTTTTTTTTTAATTCTTAAAAGAGATAGATCCTGAGATATTCGATCAAGTCAATTAAATAAAGATTTACAGAAGCAAAGTCCTCTGACCCCCCCCCCCCCCTAAAAAAAACTCAAACAAATCATTTATTTCGTGTAACATCATAGTGTTTTTTTTTTATTATTATTATTTTTTGTGTTTCAAGATTGTTGCGGTTCTTTTGGTGTGTTGTTCTGATATTTTGGGTACTATTTGGATTTGTGTACCTGGACTGTGTGATACGATCTTAATACGACTGGTTCGTTGGTTTTCGATAGTCTCAGTCTTGTCCGTCAAACGCATTCGTAATATGAGAAAAAATTACAAAAACCTGATTTTTAAATTTTTTTTTAATTTTTTTTTTTTTTTTTTTTTTTTTTTTTTTACATATATTCAATATTGCCTGCATCCTCTCTTTTGTTAATTTGACGGGTTTGGAATCTTATGGATTGCTCTATTTCAAAGCCAGTGCCGACTTTTTTTAAATATAAAAGGTTATATGTAGTTAATATTGTAAATATACAGTATAATAATTTTTTTTTGGAAGATCTAACTCTGCATTGCATTAAACAGCTGTTAAAGACAACTTACACATATTTCAGAATAAGTGGTCGAATTTACCCCGCGTCCTTAAAATCAGTAGGGGTAATTTCGACCAAAATCATATGGACGTTTCTTGTGCATTTTGAGAGAAATCCAAGATAAATTTGTAAAATTCTGCAACTTAAAGATATTCCAAGAGAAAATAAAACAATTTTAATTTAATTCGTGCTGTGGACTGTTGAACAAGGTCAAACTTAAAAAGAGGTTGTACGAGTTGTCTCTCTTGCATTTCCTTGATCAAATCAAGCGCACTGAAGACGTGGACATCGAACGTCAAACTGGAGACATAAATAATAGTAAAAATATTATTTATATCTCTGATCAAGCTATATTTGCGATGAATAATTATACTAGGAAACACTATTTGAGGAATAGTTTTCTATAATTCCGAATAAATTAAACTTGTCTCAACACTTCCGTAGATCTTTGTGTGGTGTTGTGTTCCTGTGGTCGAAATTAACCAGTGGTCGAAATTACCCTGACTTACCCTATGAGAAATTTGAATAAAGATGAAGAATTGTGGTTAAGCATCTATTTTCACTGAAGAAATTAACTGTCATGAATAAAACAAAACTAAAAATTAAATAAATTAAAAGGAAAAAGTCTACAAGATGTAGAAAGAGTGAAAATACTATTATGAAAAACGTTGTGAAACAATAATGTTTCTCATCTAGGTCCCAACAAATGTTTTGAACGTAAGAATAGGTGGCAGACAGACGGTCAGGGAGTAAGCATTAAGTTAAACTGAAGTCACACTGGAGAAAAGTAATAGATTTCATCATAGTAAGAAAATTTTCTGAATCTATGTTCTACTACAGTAATTTATTTAATATTTTATTGTAGCTTAGGAGGCAATTAAACAAGGTTTAACTCGAAATTTCTCTGTCTGGAGTATATTACATGAATATGCTAATCAATACCGAGAACCATGGTAGCTTCAGAAATTATTTTATGTACGAGTCATTTTTTTTCCTATATCACTTATTGTAATTTTTGGAAGATTTTTTTTAACTGATAAAGTTCATTTTTAAAAATAGATGTTTCATAATTTGAGGTTTTGCTTTTAAGGTCAACGAGACGTTCCTCAAAAAATATATAATTTTTCTGAAGAATTTGTCACTGAAGTATTGCTACTTTAAGTTTCCTCACAAAAAATTGAGGTACCTTACCAGGCATTTGTACAAGATACCAGAGGGTTGTGTTTCCTATATAATCCTTTTTGAAATCACTTGAATCGTCAATATCACAATTTTTGTTGTATTTATTTTCTAAGACATTTTGAAAACAGTTTTAATTAGAAATCACAAGATAATGTTAATATTATGAATATTTTTTTTTACATATTACGAAGAGGAACAAAACAGATATTTGAGGAACGTGTCATCAGATCTTAAAAATATTAATTACCTTCCATTTGATCGAGTCAGTGATTTTCTTAAAAAATCGAGCATACACTTTGAAATTTGAATATCACTGTGTAATGAGAAAAACATTATTGGATTATAGACAATGTTTCATATATGTTCAATATTTTCGTTTAATGCAAACACACTTTGAGACACAAGTCTTCAATAATCATTACAGTTTGATGGCATTATATAATTTTACGTATAGATTTCTTTTAAGAATTGTTGGCATAAAAAACAAAATTCCGTTTCCTTCTATGTTAGATAAACAGTTTTTCCTGAGCAATCAATTGTAGTTTTTTTAATTGATAACTTTTTAGCAACATATATATTTGATGCGATCCAACACTTTGTCGAGTGAATGCTTAATTTGTGGACAAGTTTTTAGATTTAAAAAAAAATATTTGATTTTAGATTAAAAAAAAATATTTGATTTTTTTTTTATTTATTCCCCAACGGCGTCAAATTGTTACCATGACTTCTCTTTTTCCTCGTCTCTAATCATAAACAATTAACGCAAACCATAGTTTGCGGCAAAATCTGTCAAAAACGTGGGAAATCTTAAAGATGATTTAACAGTTTTGATTTCTCGGGTTAATTAAGACAGGTTTTTAATATTACTGTACTCCTATTCTAAAAGAAAACTCGGA